ATCCCTCTTGGAGAACCACTGTTTCAGACAGTGAACTGAAATATTGAGGACAGAAGTCATTGAGATGTGTATGTGAAGTTATTAAACTAAGTAAGATACAAGGCAAAATCTTTCATTAACCATAATACGCCTGTAATGATCTTTATCATTCAATATTTTTGAGAACTCACTACATTCATCATATTGATGGTTCCAGAGAGTTTCCTTTCCAATTCAATAAATGCAGGTTTCCTTGAGCTCATGGGTACAACAGACCACTCTGCACCTTTCCTGACTTCATTAAGCCCAGTTCAAAGGAATACATACATTACAAAGCTTCATATGGGCTTAGCCCTCTCACCCTTGGGCCATCTTTTTCTTTCTCCTCCCAGTTCTACAACAGACAATAGAAGCATCTCATCTACTATTGTAAGCACTAGAGGCTACTATCAAGAAAGCAGAAAGGGGTGTATTGAATGCTTTGTGGGGACACCTTATTTAGGAAGGGATTTTATCTTCTTCTTGCTGTCTTATCTTCTTATGCCTCAATGTTATTCAGCCACTTAGCTGCATCCTGTCCTTCCTAGTATTTGGCACGTGTGGTTTGTTACAGAAATTGGTGTCCTTTGTAAAGGAACTATCCTAGGACTACCATAGGAAAGAAGAATGATTCCCAATATTGTGAGGTAGGTTTGAAATGCCATTTCAGTAATCAAGAGATTTTTTTTAAAAAATCGTTCAATGTTAATGAGCAGTGATAGCAGCAAAGAGGAAGAAGCCTATAGGTTAAAGCCCCACAAGATAGGTGTGCAGTTTACCTTGCCCTAATTTTGTTCGACGTCATTTTAAAGCCTTTTCTGCTAAAAGTGTGTGGTTGGGAACATTTCTAGTTCAAGTCACTAAGAATGGAAGTATATTTAAGAAAAGTCCATCATGGGGCTCAGTCTTTCGACTATTCATTCAGAATGCCAGTTATGTGTCACATACTCTTCTAAGGAGCAGTGACCAACAGATAAAAAGCTACCTGTCCTGAAACTTACATTCTAGGGGGGAGGAGAACCAAAAATCAAGATATTTTAGTAAACCTAGACCATGTTTGGTAATCAGAAGTGCTAAGTAAAAGAAGAAATTAGAGAAGAGAATAAAGTGGTGTGAAATGGGAAAAGGGGGTTGCAATTTGAGATAGGATAGCTTAGAAAGGCATCACTAAGAAAGTGACTTTTGAGCAAAGACTTGAAGGAACTAAGGGAACTAGTCATATGAAAACTTGAGAAAGAACATTCCAGAAAGAGCAAAGCACACACAAAGTCTCTGTGGTCATATTTGCTGTGTGTATGTTTGATGTATACTAGAATAAGCAAGGATTTCAGAGAGAATGGGAAGATGGTGATTGGAGATGAGGTCAGGAAAAGATCCTTTTAGGTCAGTGACTTGAACTTGTGCCTGAGTGAGATGGGACCCTGAGAAGGTGTCTCATTCAAACAAAGAAATGGCTTCATCAGATTGAATTTTTAATGAGATCACTTTGGTTACTTTATTGACTGTATTGAGAAAAGAATGAGGGAATAGTGGGAAGGGAGACAACAGCATGAGCAAGGGAATCAACAGGGAGGCTGCTAAAAAGAATTGAGCCAAAGATGATGGTGCTTAAAGATGGTAATGGTGGTAAGAAAGAGCCAGAGTCTCATATTGGCAGAAAGGATTTGCTGACAGTATGAGGTGTGAGAAAGAGGAACATTTAGGACAATGCTATGTTTGGGGGTTGAATAAGCAGAAGAATGGTATTTTCATTTACTGAGACAAGGAAGGGAATTGGATTTGAGTAAGATTAATTTTGATAAGTGTACCATGTTAAGTTTGAAGCACATATAAGACATCTAAGTAGCAGTAGGATATATGAGTCTGGGTTCAGGGGAGAGATATGAGTATCCAGGGAGTCATAGCATGTAAATTTAAGGTTATGAGATGAATGAGATCACCAAAGGAGGGAGTGTATGTAGAAAATAAAACATGTTCCAGGATTAAACTCTCTGACTCTTTGATGTTTAGAGGTCAGGGAGATGAGAAATCCCAGCAAAGAAAAATAGGATAAGAAGAGAGTGTAGCAACCTGGAAGCCAAGTGAAAAAGATTTTAGAAGAGAGGTATTAGCTATGTTAAGCCCTCCCCATAGGTCAAGTAAGATCAAGACCAAGAATTAACCAGGGGACTTTACAATATGGAGATCACTGATGACCTTGGTAAGAATAATTTGGGTGGAATGGTGAGTAGATTGCAGTGGACCCAAGTGATAATGAAAAAAAAAAAAAAAAGGAGATGGTGACATGAATAAATATTTCCAAAGGAGTTTTGTTTTAATGGAAAGGACAAAATGTATTGATGACAGGAAGGAAGAGGAAGATCAAGATAGAAAGTTTAAATGATAGAAATAATAACTTGTTTAGATGTTTATGGGAATAATGGAATAGAGGAAACATGTTTGTGTAATGAAGAGAAAAGAAAATGGTTAAGTTTTTTTAAATTGCCATGCTTTTCAGAGGGCAAAAGGATTGGAGCCCAGTGTTCCTCAGGGTCGACCTTAACTAGGAGCATTAGTACATCTTCTGCCTGGTAACAGGAGAAAAATGAAGTACAGAACAGATGGTGATAAACGAGCAGACCTGGTCAAGGGTGCTTGTGGAAATATTCTTTTGATTGCTTCTATTTGAGAGGGCTAGTGGGCAAGTGGTTCCTTGGGGAAGAGCCAGCTTTCAGTTAAAGCAAAATTGAAGGGGGTATTCACAGCAGAGGCTGAGTATCTAAGGTATTTTGCGGATGATTAACCATGAGTCCAAGTAATATTATGGAAAGATTTCAGAAGGAGGATAGGGAGCAGGGGGCATCAGAGTCTGGGTCACGTGAGAATCCTACATTTCTCCTGGTAACTTTGTTTGCAATCCCGTCACAATACAGCTTGGTCTTACCTGGGAGCTATCCTGAATCTTTCTCCTCCCAGGGTACAATTGAGGTTCAACTCTTAGGGTTTTTCTGGCAGCAGGGAGAACACCAGCAACATGGGAAGGTAGAAGGCCCCTGCAACCTCCAGGTCCCTTTTGGATCCCTAGTTTGTGTCCAGCTAAAACTGTGCATTGCTGTGCTCTGGTCTTGAGAAAGTCCCCATCCCAGTTGTTGTGCTGGCCATGCCTCTGGGTCTATTGAGGAGGGAACTGAAGAGGAAGGGCAACCAGCTTTGCTGCCAAGAGCCATGTTTCCCAAGCCCTAGTAACTTGAACCTACCAGTCCTTGAAAACTTATCACAGCTGCAGAGCACATGTACTCATGTGTTTACTTACTAATTTACAGGAATATGTTCACCTTTTTTTTTCCTTATGAAAATAACTTTTTCAAGGAACTCATAAAAACCTGCCACAATCAAAACATTATTTTAAAGCAAATGAATACAGAATCAGAATGATGAATATTAAAAAAAAAAAAATGTACATTCTCATATGACCCCCAAATCATCTCATTTAAGACTTTGGGAAGAGTGAACCAAAGAAGGACTGGGACTCAAAACTTGATCCTTCTCATAAAACTACCTGCCTGGGTATTCTCCTCTTATTGCTTTTCTTTTCCTATGATGCCCCTGGGATTTACATGCAGGAGAATTCAGCTGAACTATTGTCTTTAAGAAGGGCACTTCTCTGATATGCAGGTTAAGATTTCCCATACAGGGACACAACCGATTAAAAGGCCCTGAGGTGGGAGACGATGTGCATTCAGGGAGTGTAGCAGGAGTGTAAACACCTGAGGAAAGAGACCCCTAAAGTGAGTGTGCTATAAGTAGTCAGAGCAGGTTTAAAAAAATTAGGTCTTTTCTAGGAGTAGAGTGAAGCTATTAAGTGTTCTTAAGGAAGGAAGTAGAAAAAAAGATCCCTTGATAGTTGTTCAGAGAAGGGATTGGAAGGGGCAAATGTAGATGTAGACATCGGGAGGGACTCTTGCAAAATCTACATGAGATCCAATAGCCTAGAATAAGATGCTAGTGATGGCAAGGATAGAAGGGTAGAGCTCCAAGAAATTCTTAGGAAGTAAAAGGAGCACTACCGAGCACTTGTTTGAATTGGCTAAGTTAAGAGAATGGTATTCTGGGTTGGCTTCAGCATTCCCATTTGGCTGGCATGGAGTGGTAAATGGTAGTGAAATGTGTTGAGATGGACAACACCAGAATTGAGATAGGAGAATATGTCAAATATGGCAACTTGGAAACATCCGAAGAAGAGTGTCTTCCAGGTTGGGTACATAGGTCAGGAACTCAGAATGGTGGGAAATGGAGCTAGGAATTCAAGATTCATTAGCCTGTGCTTTAGGTCTGTTTATAAAGGACAATGTCGTCTGCCAGCCTCTCTCTTACTATGATAAGTTGATATGCTACAGAGATTTCACCCTAGTCAGATAGCTAAGGGCTGGATTGATAATTGTTCCTCTAAAGAAGGCAAAATATATTGTGCATTTAAATGAATAATCACAGAGATGCAGTAATAATCTTCCTTCTATTTGTCCTCTTCCCACTCCTGTCTACCACTTTGTCTTCTCTCCTCCTCCTCCTCTTGCCTCTTCTCCCTCCTCTTTTCTCTGAGTCTCCTTCTCTAGCTTTTTTCTCCTCCTGTATACTGTAGTAGACTCTGGTGACAAATTTTGTATGGGCACACTACTGTACCAAAAAAGTCATCCTGTGGGATTTTCTCTCTCCAACCCAAGTGAAGAATTAAAGGACAGTTTTTGTAACTGATTAATAAGTTACCATTGGCCCCTCTGGCATCTGCCACGTGCTGCTTGTACCCATATTTGGGATCCAAAGATGCACATTTAATAGAGTGCAATTATTATTTATAAGTTCTATTTATGCAACTAGATTAATGTTTTTAATTCTAGGGAATTTTACATGCTGATCACTTTTAATTTAATTTTTAAATTATGTTTTTAAATTTTTACTTTTTCTTCTAATTAATGCTGATTCATTTTTGTTTGCCTGGTTAATAGATTACTGTCCTAGATGAGACATGGACTGTATTCAGGCGTTACAGTCGTTTTCGAGAAATGCATAAAACATTGAAATTAAAGTATGCAGAGGTAAGTTATGAAATTATTATCTCCAATTAAGAACATTCATTTCATAAAGTAAATGAGCTGATTGCATTAGCAATGTCCCCCATCTCTCTCTCTCTCTCTCTCTCAGTATTAGCTTGTATCACCAAGTTTTATTTTAATTACTCATCTATCAAATATATCTTTTTAGTTTTTGTTTTTTTATTTATATTCTACATTGTTTAAAGGTTTTTGAGTACAAGATTTAGAAAATAGTAATAAATTAACTCCATCTTTTTCATAAATTTTATGATAATTTTAAATAAATTTTTCAATCAATTTGTAACTTCTCAACTATAAAACCTATTAAAACGAAATAGTAATAAATTAGTATAGATTTTTCCATTTTGTCTCTTAAAGAAAACTACATCCATGCTTAGATGTCTACTCAATGAGAAACTGAGACATGAGCATTATTTTGCCTTCAAATATGGAGAAGGGGGACAGATAGCAATATGAATTTATCTAGAAACAAGAAAGTATTTTATGTATGAGACCAGATGCCAGGGTGTATTGATATAAGCAATCTTTTCCTTTCTAGAGAAATATTAGCTTTTGAAATAATTTCAAGCAAAGAAAAGCATTCCTAGAATGGATTTGTGTTTTCCTAATGATAAGGATGAAAATGATTTTACTTCGACTATAGGAAGTCTGTATATGTATATCTCTTTGAAAATTTGGGTTTAACTGTCTGCAAATCAATGAATAATCACTGTCTAATTAGCCTGTTTTCACTATTGATTTTCAGCACTATTTTTATAGTTTATGACATCCTAAAAATAAATTTGTCAGACTTTTGTCCCTAATTTGGTTCATATTAAATAATATTTCCTTAACATTATGGCTTCTGCCCTTTTTTATCTGACTTAGAATACAAAGAGAAATACCTATAAATAAAGGTTCCTTGATGTGTAGAAGGACCTTGAGTTCAGGTAAAGTTGAGTTGTGTTTTAAATTCTATTATTCAGCTTTCACACTAGTTAGTATTCTGATAAAATTGAAGAAGATTCAGGTAGGAATTACAGTTTAGTGTTCCCAAGAGGCTTCAGTTCCAGCAGTAAACACATAAAATTCAAACTATGAGTTCATTTCTATAATTTACCCTCCATGTCTCAAACTAATATTAACAATAAAAAGTAGAAATACTATATACATATTAAATGTAAAGAGCAGCTTTTTCTGAAAGTGAACTTTGCAGCTTATTAACTAGCTGGCTATGAGTTACTACATCAGTTCTTTAATAATGTATAGTTTTTGCACATTGTATTAACATCACTGAATTCCCAGAGTAATAGGTAGAAAAAGAAAGAAAAGGATGCAAGTTTTACACATACACACACTCACATACACTCCCACTCATCCTATGATTATATTCATACCAAATCTAATATTAGTTTAACCTATCCCATATAAACACACTTTTCTAGATTTCAGTAAAATAGTAGTGGATAAAAATAAAAATCTCTTATATATCTTAAAATCATATGGAAAGAGCCTCAAAATAAGGAAAAATAATCACTAATACTTGACAATTAAACATTCCACATTGTAGTTGCCAATTTAAGTAAGTTGCTTGCCTTCCATGACAAATGTCAGGGTGATGGAGCAGAAGTTGTTGGGCATTTTAGTATAATTTCTTTTCAGTTTGGGCTCTTTGACAAGATGGCATTCTAGTTTCAGTATGAATTGAAATATTCAAAAGAGTTTGAAAAGCATCAGTATACTTCTCTAATTAGTGTTTTTAAAGAAAACTAAATAAATATAACATAAGCAATCTTTGAAGATATAATAGAAGAAAACTTATGCGATTAAGAATGATGTGAATCTGAAAATCAAAGAGATTTCTTGATACCAGGAAAAAATAATGAAGAGATTATTACATGTAAAATTTTCTCAAGGGGGAAAATGTGTATTACAAACATACTTTAAAAAATGAAGTGACCATCAAATGAAGAAAATTAAACTGGCTTCATTTATTACTCACAACAAGAGCAACTCTATACTTTGTATACAGATGTGAACAAGACAGCCACATTCTGTCCTCTCATGAAGTAAAGAGAATAAACAAATAAGGCAATTTCAAATAATATTAAGTGCCTTATAGAAAATGAAACAGGGTCTAATTATATGGTATAAGAGTTGGACAGTGAGCACTTTTGAGGCAACAGGCCAGGCAGGCCTTTCTGAATAAGTGAGGTTTGAGCTGAAACCTGAATGTTGAGATGAAGCAAGCATGAAAATCTAGAGGTAGACACATTTTAAGTAGAAATAACAGCAAATACAAAGGCTCATGGTGGCAAGGGCAAGTTTGTGTGTTTTAGGACTAAAACGCCTGTGAAAAGTGGCAAGAGTGGTAGTAGGAATGAGAGGGCTAGGTAGAGACCTATCAAGTAGGGCCTTGACCTATATTAGTGCATGGGAAGGCACTGCAAAGTGTTCAAATAAGAAAGTGATCCAATTTTTACTTTTAAAAGATCATTTTAATGGCCATATAGACACAGATTGTTGGGATAGTTGAGAGCTTACATCTAGAAGTCTGTTTTAGATATTTAATTTGATTTTAAACACTTATTTGGAAGTTCCAAGGAAGATGAATGAAGTATGCCTACAGATTAAAGAGAATATTATGAATGATCTCTCAGAAGGCATGGTTTAGATCACCAATAAGTGAGAAAAATTCTTTTATTTTTGTCTCAATTTTTAGCCAAGTTTCAGCGTTAAAACCATTAGACTCATAACTTCTACTAACAGAAGTCCCTTTTCCTGAAGACATACTGACAATTGAAAGGGTAACCAAGAATGAAAATTGCATTTTCATGTGGAGTTCAAGTTTGTAACTTATAATTACTTTATTAGAAGGACAGAAAAAATTAGTTATATAAAGGAACTGTGAGACACACATGTGCATATTATTTCAGAGAGAAAAGATAGATGATAAGTGATTTGAAACTATGTAGTAAGCTCCTAAAATACACTGTGTGTTGAAAGAAGGCATGCTGGTTTAAGCCCTTGAGAAACTGCTGATGGTGTTTTGCCTTTCATTTGCCACAACTGCGACCCATTTCCTCACCCTTTCCTGAGTGCTTACCCTGTGCCTAGTATTGTGCTTAGCATCTCATGGTGCTCTTGACAGTACTATGAATGTAGGGGCCTTTACCAGCTGAGAGTGAGAGATGTGAATAACATGCTTCATGGCACACAACCATGAGTACAAGCCAGTTTTGAAACCAGTTTGACTCCATTTCCCATTTCTAAACCAACAATGATATTAAAATTTGGTTTTAAAATGCACATGATCTATTAAAACATAGTAGCATGTTTTTCTAGATCTAGATGAAACATTTCAAAGGAGAAGAGCATTGTGATTCAACATTTTCAAAAGGAAGTTGAAATACAAAATTGAATATCATCCATATATTGTTCTGTAAATTTGGAGTTTCTTTTGTGCAGCTCAGATTCATATTATCTTGCTTGCTAAGTGTATGTTGGGACTTGAAATCAGTAATGTGCTTATTGGGAATTTGTCAAGTATTATTGCTGTCATTGTGTAATGTTAATCTTGAAGTAATCAACTACTTTCAAATAGCCTACTTGGCCTGAAAACATCCTAGAAATCACTTGACTTGTTAAAGACATAACCTCTTCAGGAAAGCCAAAGGGTTGATACAGAAGGATCCTGAAAATTTCCTCCCACAGACAACTTTTTGATAGCCAGGTGGGAACATCATTTCTTTACCTAGCTCCTTCACCAGATCATGCTCATTATTTCTGTGCAAGTAGAGAACTAATCTTACTCTCTTCATACCAAGAGTAACAAAATTTTCGATGATAATGTGTTTTTTTAAAAATGATATGTATTAAATTTTCCTAGTCATACAAGGTTCAAGTTTTAGATCAAGTTGGAAAAATACTGAAGAGCACAGTGAAATTCAAAATACAAAGAATTTGTAATATGCACACCAAGGTAGAGAATCTTTTGTCACCTTAAAACTTCAGTTTTTGTCACAGCTTATAATCTTTTGCAACTTTATCTAAAATTATATCCTGTTCTTTCACATTTTCTTCTGGAGTTTAGCCATGTTCTCTCCTGGAGGATATACTCTAAAATAGTTTGATGTGACAGTTCCTTTTATGGAGATTCTTTTTCTTTTTCTTTCTCTAATCTTTTTTTTTTCTAAATAGACTACATGTTCATGATAAAAGATTGACATTATTCAAAGATATATCTAGGGACTGTGAAAGTGAGCCTTAATCTAGCCCTCAGAGATACCATTTGCAGCACTTCCCAGGAGATCTTCCTGGATCCAACTATAAATTCAGAAGCACACGCTTTCTATAAGCCATACTTTGCATGAAGGTCCCTGGAAAGGATACAGGACAGGGACCACTGCTTGCCAATAGGGCAGAGGCTTGGTGAGGGTCTCCCAGCATTCTGCAGCATTCTACAGAGTTGTCCAGGAGCCTAGGTCCCATCTCTCCCTAGTAATAGCTTAGGTGCATGGAGATGAGACCCACCTGGGCAGGTGCAAGAACCTCTCTAGTTTCCCCATGCCACAGGAAACCAGCACTGTTACCAGTGGAGTGTGACAACTCCACTGGCAGAATTTGCAGCCTCTACAAGAAGCACATGGAATTATCAGTCATCTCACCTACAGCTAGGCTTCCCACCATCTAGCTCTCATTCTCCCTGTCCAGAAGCACTTTATCAAGAGGTGGTGGGGAGATAATCTTTTCCATGAACAGTATTGCCTAGTAACAAAATTGGCATTTTCACCTTATCAAGTTTCCAGAATCCTCTTGCTAGACATTTGGGTAGTTTCCGATTTTTGCTGTTAGGACAACTTCTCTGAACATTCTTGAACATGCTTACATGTCTTCTGATTTGAAAATTTCTCTGTGGGGGAGGAAAAAAAAAAACGATTGCTCAAATGTCCTGAAAGACTTAATTTATGAAAATCCAAGCTCAGGAATGAATACACAGGAGT